AGTTACTGGCTGACAAACAAAGTCCCCATCAAAAGACCAAGCACAGGTCTCCTCATGTATACACTTGCCACGAGATTCTGTGATGAAATTCATCTGTATGGATTCTGGCCATTCCCCAAGGATTTGAATGGAAAGCCTGTCAAATATCATTACTACGATGACTTAAAATATAGGTACTTTTCCAATGCAGGTCCTCACAGAATGCCATTAGAATTCAAAACATTAAATGTGCTGCATAATAGAGGAGCTCTAAAACTGACCACAGGGAAGTGTACAAAGCAATAAAGCACATTTTGAAACATAAACACTGAATATAATGTCTTTTCTGAAGATGCTTCTGCAGATTTGAAAATTGGATCCAAAATAAGGCTGTATCAGTATTCACCAATTAACTGAAAGATTGATAAAGGAAATTCATGTGAAATCCACTACCAGCTGATGAAATACCTGCAAAGTGCTCTAACAATTCAATATTTCTGACTTCAAGGGTCCTAGTAAGTGCCACTTCCACTAAGAATACAGTTTGAATGTATAATCAGTAGTGTTTACAAGATCCAATAATGCACTCATCATTAATTAACAAAGCAAATGTATTCATCACTGTCGGGCTGCCACTGCAATGCCAAGCACACTGGAAGAGGAACGCGGTAATACAACTCAGCCCTTGGGAAATTAAATCATCCTTGTCAGCAGAAATCAACATGGAAACAGTTTGAGCAGTGAAATCCATAAGATTAAATAACTCAAGTAAATGCCTTCAGTCAGGACTCTGAGTCTGATCATGTATTTCATGTTTTTATTTATGATTTTGCTTGTCTTCTGGAATCTCTTTTGGATTGGGTTATTGGGGTGCTTAGAAATCTTTTTTGTGGTACAGAAATGGGAAATATATATGAATGAGAAAAATAAAATGTCAAGTAATCTTTTCTAAAGTTCTTATATTTTTAAAAGCAATCACACCAAAATTTTTAAGTTTTATTCTGCACAACTCTAAACCTCCAGATTATTTTCCAGTGGTGTAGAAGGTACCAGTCAAAGTATACCACTCAGTAATAGTGAACCATTCTAAAGAAGAGATATTCCATGTCTTCTAAGGTGATAAAATTAGCAGAAAATCGCACTTTTGGTACCAAAGATTATATTCATGTTTCTACGCAACAAACCATTTTCCTTTCATCAAAAGAGATCATTGTTAACATGAATATATTATTATGCTACTAATGTGCAACTGGTCTCTAAATTTTTTTAAATTTCCAAACTCAAACTTTATTTTTATTTTATACCTTTTACACTTCATAATAATTTTTTATGGAAGCATTTTGCCCTTTAGATTAAATGTTTGATGGATATAGCTGGAATGTGACCTCTACTTCTTCAATATTCCCCTTGTTATCAAATATAAAGATGAGCATGGTCTTTATATCATTGTTAAATTTCTTAGTGCAAAAAACCCATGATTACTGGAGTGTTATTTTCATAATGGATGTGGTTAATTTTAAAAGGTTTAACAATGAAATTGTGTGTCAGTATTTTGGACTTAATGTGAATTCAATTGACCAACATTTTTCTGTAGTTAAATTTGGTCATATTATCACTGAATGTGTTTGTGGAGAAACATGAAATTATTCATAAAGTAATTTAAAAGAATTTAATATATAGCAGAAATTACAGAATATCAGTAGGACAGTTTTCTGATAACTTATATTACAGTGGTAGGTGACTCTGAGGGCAAATTGCTTCTTTTGAAAGCAGAAGCACTGTGTTCTCACTTCCTTTTGGCCTGAAACAAGTTATATGACTTCTTGTTTCTTGGGGACAGAAATATGAGGAAAGAAGAAATAGTACAAAGAATAACTATGTTTGTTTCTAAGTGAGGACAGTCTGAGAAATGAATGAAAAGCACGGAGAATAATATGATGCATGTGTTTATGTGTTCATGGAAAAGGGTAATCACAGTAGTATAGTCATCAATATTTTACAATATTTTAATAATATGTGGTATTATTTTTTAAAATATAGTAGAACATTGGAATAGAGAAGACAATAATTTCTGTGAATTCATGTATCTCTAAAGAAAGCAAAATAGAATTCATATGGGAGATTCATAGCTAAAGATGAATACAACTTAATGTAATTTTATCATTAAGTTTCTTATCTATTGGACATTTTAAAAGAATTAGATACATGTTTTGAATAAAAAGTTGAAAAGTTTGATTTACCCAAAAAAAAGAAAAGCAGGTGATGTCTGACATCTGAGTTTGGACTATTTTCTGATCAGTTGTTTTAGTAGCCTTAAACATGAATTCAATAGAAATCTAGAAGTCATAAGTAAATTTTTACAGGTAAAATCCAACATATGTCTTATAAAGCAGAGCAAGGTACCTTGCCACTTTTACTGAATTTTAAGCAACTGTATTTAAACAATTTTCAGGCCACAGCAAACACATCTCAGCCATCCACTATTCTGTATTGATGTTTTTCTCATAGATGCATTGGGTAGTGCCTTTTTAGCGTCTTCACATTGCTTTTTTACCCTGCGCTTTGTGTTCTCAAAATACTGCCCAGTTCTGAAAATGTTCACCTAAAAAGGGCTTCAGATTTGACAGAAACTATTTTTGTTCATCTCAGGGAACTTTCAATACTCAAGAATGAATTCAATTAAAGATATTTAGTGTTCAAAGAAGACAATTGTACCAGATCATTTCATTCTCCAATATGTACCTTTCTATCTGTTCTCCCCCTTCGATATCTACCAGGGCCTTCTTCTAAGAATAGAGCAAGGAGATCATTGAAGGCTAAAAGCAAGCATATGAAAAAAGGGTTGAGATTTAACTAACAAGGGGGCATAGGGATGATAACAAAATCAAATCATAAGTACATACTTGATGTATCTGGGATTCTTTTCTCTTGAAAAATCATATGTTTGCAGCTTTAATTTTTTATTTGTTTTTCATGATTTTACCCTGGCAATGCTCAGGCAGCTGACTGTGAAGTATTCCTGTTCTTTAGGTAACATGCTTGTTACTGTGCTGTTGAATAGACCATGGAAACATTTTCATCATTATTACTCAGCCTGTTCTATGATTAATATTAAGTTGCTGAAATAAAAACTGCATCAGTAATAAATTTTCAGGGCAAATCTAAGGATTCGGCCCAGAAGACTGATGAAACTACTGTGGAAGTTTTTCTCACTGAAAGAGGGTGCTGGGTATTCAAGTGTCTACATGTGTTGTATATCATATGACTTGTATATCAGTTGTTAATGACAATTTCACATAGATGCTTACAGAGGTGATTTACTTAAAAATGCTAGAAGTAGTGTAACTAGTTATTCAGCTACTACGCAAAACAAGGGTAAATGAAGTAATTTATTTCTAATTCAGCCAGTTAGTCATAATGCACATATTGTGGTATTTGGTTCATTAAAGAGTTATTTTAATGTGGTTATTGTAAGGACTATAATTGTGAAAGGGGTGTGGGAAAAGTTATGTATAGTTAGTTGTTATCTCTACAAGTTAGGACATTTCCCCATCACACATTATCAATACACCAATGTTTTGCAAATCGAGTGAGGGTTCTTGTAAGTATTTGATAAAAGAAAATCCAAATAAAGCCCACCTAGAAATAGATATTTTATTATATATGTGCTATAGATATATCTATATAGTACAAATAGACATGTGTGATGCATATATACAATGTTATATATGTGCATTTGTGTGTATACATACCAAGTCTGAAATATGTACACACTAGGTTTGTATTATCTTACGTCTTCAGGGTCTGCACTGTGAATTACTCTGGAGATAAATAAGACCACTTTAGAATGAAGAAGTTCTTCTGAGACTTCAGTTACTAATCTGCTTTAAGAGAAATCTGCTTTATAATGAATTCTATGTTGTCCATACCTAGATTTACAATAACAGACTAGTATTTCTGAATATTTCAAAAAATAAAGAAGAAAAGGAAAATGAAAAAAAATGTCTTCAAGCTGGCAATGTATTAAAATTGCAGTTTTCAGATTGCAGCTCCAGGCCTTGTGTATCTCATTTAAGTGGCACCGTTTAGCAAATACTGTTTGTTTGTGTTGGTAAAAGCACAAATACTTCAAATGTATATAGCAGGAAAAAAGAGTTTACAGACATAGAATTGCTGCACAGGATAATTGCTACTGAGTATTTCTTATACCGTTTGTGGAATCAGAAGATGAGGTTTAGTCTGTCAGGTTCATTCTGTTCAACACTGTTCTCCTATTGTTTGTGTATAGCAGTTGGGTATTATTGTTTTATCATTTGTGAAATTGTAAAATAAATTAAATCACTTGTTCTTTTTTCAATTTTTCTCTTATCTCTTTTATCCATGCCCTCAGTTTCACTTTCTACATCATGTGATTGTATAGAGTAAGTTTTTGTTACCTCTTTGGTGTTCCCTATGCCTCAGCACCAGTCATTGACAACTAGACTAAACATTTATTTTCGTATGTGAATGGGGATACAAGCAGTGTCAATACCCCCACGAACATCTTGAAATCCTTAACAGTATTCCACATGGTTGTGGTTTTGAAAATGGAGCATTGCATAAGCGACAGTCATTTATATCTAATTTAGACGCCCACTGACTGAAGTAACTGAGACATTGAAACTCCACAGCTGAAGTAACTACTTACCTACTGCCTGCTCTTGAGCTGCCCATTAGTTTGTGAGTTCATCTGCAAACTGCTGTTTGCAGTGAGTTCCAGGAAATTATTCTGAAATACTATATACTTAATTTTTTTCCCATGGCTCCCTGTAACTTCTAGATCTGTTTTAAGACACTGAACTGTTTTCTGGAGAATATTTTAGCTGTAGTTTCACAAGGACACTATCAGCATTCTATAAGTGAGAAACATTTTCTTGAAGCTATTAAGAAATCATTAACAATGGTTAATGAACTTGTGTTATTTGTATTTGTGTGATTAAATTTACATATAATCACACCTCCTCATACAGAACCCCAATTTTTAATGTTACAGAAAAACTTACAGAATTTAAAATGAGTATGGATTTTGGTGACTTTAGAATCCATTTTCCAGGCTGGGCACAGTGCTTCATTTCTGTAATCCCAGCTATGTAGTAGGTGGAAATGGAAACGATTGCAGTTACAGGCCAGCCCTGGCAAAAAACAAAAAAAGCAAAATAAGTTAATAAGTTAGTGAGACCCAATCTCAACCAATAAACCTAGAAAAATCCAAGACCATACCTGAAAGATAACTAAAGCAAAAAGGGAGCATGGCTCAAGTGGCAGAGCTCTTTCAAGTCACAGTACCTTCAAAAATAAAAAGCATCACCTTTCTAAGAGGCAATGTTAAAGATAGTTTATTTCTACTGTCAAAAATATTATTTACAATATTTATTATTTTAAATGGATTTAAGTGTGTTCTTGTCCAAAATCATGGCTAAATTTCCTGTGAAATTAGTACATTAGTACATTGTTATTCAACATGCTTTGCAAGAAAATGATTTGTCCTCACTCACACAATTCTGAAGTGCTCTCAGGAATTAACAAGACACTAGTACAAGCTCTGAGAGGTGGAAAATAAAAACAAATTTAAATTTCCAGCAAAGAATGTCCAAATGTATTCAATTGTTATACCTTTAGTACTGGTTTTAAAAAGTGACATAATTCATGATTTTTATAAGCTTTTTCACAGAATTAAGAAGTGGAAGCCAGGCCTGTGATTCACACCTGTAATCTTTACTTGCAAGATGCAGATTTGGAGGATGGAGGTTCAAGGGCAGCTCAGGCCAAAAAGTTAGCAAAAGCCCATCTCCACCAATGAAAAGCCAGGCATAGGCTACTTTCCCATCATTCCAGCTACATGGGAAGTGTAAATAGGAGGATAGTGGTCCAGGTGCAGCTTGCATATAAAGGCAAGACCTTATTTGAAAAATAACTAATATAGAAAAGGGCTGGGTTCTTGTCTCAAGAGGTACAGCACCTGCCTGGCATGTACAAGGCCCTGAATTTAAACACTGAAACTGTAAAAGAAAAAAGAAAGCTAGAAATAGATTTTTATTTGCCTTATAAATATCAATAATATGTGAGATACTCTATGAGATATAATGACAAATTGCACTGTTCCCTCATTTCTTGATATTATACAGTACAATTTGAAATGCAGGTATTAAAATGAACTACTCACTTTATTTGGAAGAGATGCTACAGATGCTTTGTCAAAATGTGCTTTTCTGAATTTTTGTAGACATTTTGTTAGTTCTGGTTGGCTGAATCAAACTATTCTAATTTACAAGGACTTACACAGTTAGTTCAAAATAAACCTTAATATATATTCATAGAAACTCAGAAATTTATGGGTCCAGTTCATGTGTCTTATGTTAACAATACTTAAATCATCTATACTCTGGGCCAAACATTTCTTTATATATGTGTATATATATATATATATTTATATATAATCTTAAAAACAAGTCTATGAACTGGGCACTGCAAATATCCCACTTTTACAAGCAAGGTTAAAGGAGAGGAAATAGGGTGGGCTCAAGGTCACATAGCTAAGAACTGAGAGAACCAGGACCTGAATCCACTGACACCAGTCTCCACCCTCTTTGCCATCACATTCTGATGCTGCCTCATCTTTTCTAGCAAGAACTTCCTTGGGAAACTAAGTAACTAGATTATTGTTTAATGACCATAGACCAGAGCTATGCAAAAGTATATAGAAAGATTGTATTTAGAATTTGGAAAAGTCTACAAATGATCCCTTCCTCAAAACAGCATAATCATCTCTAATAATAAAAACAACTGCTTTCAGGTCAGTCTCTCCCCAGGATGGTGCTAAGTAAAACTTGCCAATTCAGACTTCAAACTCTTCTTTTTATTATTATTCTTGCTTTATGTATCAAAAAATTCATTACAGTACTGTGATTTTAAAGTTGAGGTTCTTATTCAAACATTTTGATTGAACTTGAGAGTTCCCTGAATCTCCATTAGCAGCTGTTTGCAGAACTTGCTTAAGGTTGAACTTCTGCAGATGACTAAACTCATAAACTTGATATTGATTTTGTTTCCTTACTGTCTCTGTCTTCCTGGGGATGGGAGTTAACTAATCTCTAAATTCAGGAGGCAGTCCAATAGTTTCCCTATATATTAGTTTCATTGCTCAAAGCCTGTGAGAACTAAACAATAATCCTGAATATAAAAATAAAATTACTGTTTAATCCATTCTTAACAGATAAGAGATTCCAGTCACTTGATTGCTCAATTTCTGAAATTCAGTAACAAAAATATGTGAAAGCATTGCATATAAATATAAATGTAGCTATCTATATGTTTTGTTTCAAGATACCTGACTCAATCACTATTGTAAAATTTCTCAAGTAAACATAAATGCAAAATAGTGTTGATGTGTTCCACAAAAATGTATTCCATAAAGGACAACTCTATAGATCTCCCCTTTGAAAATTCAGAAAATGCGTTAACATAATAAAAGAACTGAGATGTAATAAAGGATGGAATTTCTATTGTTTAAAAAGCCACAGGTAATTTAAAATAACATTAGCTATGAAATTATTTTCTGGGGAGCATACACTGAATAATGCTTATAAATATAACAAAAAAAGTCCAAGAACAGAGAAGATATGAGTTTGATTTCAGCCAGGTGTGATGGCACAGTCCTATAATCCCAACACTCAGGAAGCTAAAGTAAGGGGATTGAGAACTCTAGACCAGCCTAGACTATAGAGTATGAGGTCTGGGCTATATAGTGAAACCCTGCCTCAAAAATCACAAAAACAAAAACAATGAGGAGTCTCACTTGCAAAGACTAATACTTACTTTACTAGGGGCTTTCATTGACCATAGATTTATCAACAATACTTTTAAACATAAAAGGCACTTAAACTGATACATTTATTCTCTAAATTACTTTTATAGAAACACTTTCTTTTATAGAATATTGACCATAATATAGCTACATTTCTAAGAGCAGACCCATTAGTAAACTCTGTTGCTCATTGTAGATTGCACACACAAATCAGTTAATTTAAGACAATAGTATCACAGAAAGCAAAAAACAGTTGCTGCAACTTGCTATTTTGAATTTTGTTGAAACACTTGAGCTATTATTATAGCAAAACTTACCCTCTGCTGTCTGTCCAGCTTCCCAACACCATGCATATGGGCGGCCATGAGCACATCTGCCACACTGCCAAATCGTAAGCACACTCAGCTGGTAGCAGATGTTTTCCAGGAAAGATCACTGCTGCTGGAGTTGTTCTACCTTTGGCTTCTATGTTAGTTAATCTCCATGGTTGGGCATAAGGCCGTTCTGTTCAAATGGATCATTTGTCTCTCAGGTATAGAACAATAACAGGTAAGGTGTAGGCTCGACTGTTTTATATTTATCACGTTCATGTATCTATAAGCATTGTAAAAGTCTCTACTAATAGGTCAAGTTCTTTCTCTGTTAAAAAATGACCCTTTATTTTACTTTAACACCTTATTTACATAGGTCTTAAAAATAAAATATAAGGCCTACTGGGAAAAAACATTTCTTTTCTGCTTTTTAATGACCATTGGTATAATTCAGGTTTGTGTTTTTGTATGATTTTCTGATAGTTGTGTACATTAATAGTTGCCAGTCCTATTTATAATCAAAATAATAAGCATATATTTATGCATTTATTTCATTTAATTTGGTAGAGTCTGATAACATGTATTTCTTCTGTGAGTTTATGAAGTAATCTGTATTTATTTTCAATTCTTGATGGCATATAAAATTTAAAAGAACCTCATCTATAAAATACTATTTACTATTCTATCAAACATTTGGAACACCTTTCCTCATAATTTCAAAATTTAAATAGAAATGATACACAGGAAAACAAATAATATTTTTTGGTGAAAAACACTCATTGCTAGAGACTTGGGGAGCCTACAGGAAACTGGTGGATGGCGTCACCAACTTTAACCTACAGAAATTAAGAGTCAAGAAAGCATTTCCTGGCCAGTGCCTGCTGGACTGTTAAAGGACATCTTTAATTCTATTTGACAAGTACTTATTAACTGTTAATGAAGTGCACCCAGAGGAGCTAGCAATATTTACATCTGTATAACTTCATTTCAGTTGTTGAAATCACAAGCAACATACAACTCTTATCACCTATGAACATAGCAGGCAGTTGACTTGAGAAGACATGAAATAAAAAAATTTCATGGAAGATCTGGACCCTTGTCTGGTGTACTAGCCATACTATTTGTATATAGAGGGCACTGGGACATCCTTGTTAAACTTGAAACATCCTAAGCAGAGAACATGGGCCGCGTGGGTCATGGTTTATGGGTGGATGGTAAAATTGAGACAAGCAATGTCCCAGCAAATAGGCCAAATAATATTTTATTAACATAGAAAATCCAATAACAGAAACCAGCCTTTCTGTGTTTTTTTCGTTAATATAAACAGGAGAGTTTGAAAAACATCTATTATCTTAGAAAATGTAAATACCTTTAAATTCCTACTTATGAAAGCCACACTCCCATCCTGAACTCATGTTCCCATATTCATTGTTGAATTACAAATTTAAATTAAACTGAAGTTTACCCTAAACCAAGCATTTACCACCAAAACCAAGTGAGTGAATATCTGAAATTATTCATTGTGTAATATGTTTCATTTGCAAATATCACACTTGAAATTTACTTTGTTTTCAAAACTTGGGGAAATAAAAGAAATTATCTTGTACTTGCTTTTAAGGAATGGGTTTTCAAATGATTTATTTCGAATACTTCAATAGCTGTTTCCAAATTACCATAATTCTAATTTTTTTAGGATGATTCTAGAACCTAAAAATCTACCTGCCAAAACACTGAAGATACAGAATGTGTATTCTAAT